AATACTACACAAACATTTGGGTGTGAAAAAGCTGTGCTCTCGGTGGATCCCACACAATTTGGCTGAGGCTCAAAAAACGGATCGCGTCACTTGGTGCAATGCCATGCTTACCAGATTCAACGAAGGGGCGTCAAATTTGGTGTGGGACATAGTACCAGGTGACGAAACATGGATTTTTACGATCGGTAGTTACGATTCCAAAAACAAAGCAGCAATCGAGCGTATCGGTTTTTCGAGATGAGCCGAAACCAATGTGGCGCGCTTGCAAAGTGCCCCTAAGCGGATGATAGTTTCTTTTTTTAATAAAACTGGACACGTGGCTACTATTGCTTTGAAGAATCGCTGTACCATGAATAGTGATACGACCATTTGTTTGCCGGAAGTTATTGACAAACTCCGTAAAAATAATCGTTAACGCCGTATCATGTTGCACCATGATAATGCCAGTTCTCACACGGCTAGACAGACGAATTTTTGGAGGTGAACAACGTTAACCTTATGAGCCATCCCGCGTATACAGTCCCGACCTGGCATCTTGTGACTTTTATTTATTTCCAATAATTAAGAACCAGTTACGCGGTCAACGATTTTCATCACCTGAAGCGGTTGTCGAAGAGTATGAAAAATATTTTTTTGTTTCAGAGTTTGTCACATAGGAGTGGCAGAAATGTTTTCAAAATTGGTTCATTCGTATGAAAAAGTGCATTAACTAACGGAGAATATTTTGAGAAACAATAAATTCATTTCTGACCATTTATAGTATTTTTTTCTTATTCATTCCGGAAACTTATAGTGGGCCACACGTATATGCTAGTTGGATTTGCTACTCATGGGAGTTTTACTCTTGAATTCGGAATGAAACGTTTCCTCTGATTCTTTTGTTAACAGGGACATGTCCGATTTGATGGTAAACTCGCCAAAGTGAAGTCCAGCGTGCACGTTGATTACTTCAGATGTAAGTAATTAAACTGCTATCTGATCGCACAGAAAATCGATTGGCATCGGATCGGTATGTTACGCGTTATGTCAGTCAATATTCATAGCGTGCATTATTCAAAATTGCCACATTTGGTCCTTATCAGTTCCCTACGTTTGAGCCTTATAAACATTGTAATGTAAAGTTCTAACGAAACTCCTGTTATTCATCCTCCAAACCTTTCTGAGAAAACACTATGTTGATCTACAAGCACCACATTCTCCAAAAAAATAAAATTTGTCCACTAAGTGCAACAAATTGATAATTGACTGGCTATCGAAAATGAATTACGATGAAAACGAATGCCTAAAGGTCTATCCACACATATCCGGGCCGTGCCCTGGACGTGGACGGGCCGTGCTCCGTCAGGGGCTCAAAAAAAATATCGTTGCGAACGTTTTGTATGAATTCGTTCACAAATGGCCGTGTCCGGGCCGGTGCCGGGACGGGCCCGCAGTGCATATAAACTAGCAAGCCCCTTTCACGTCCCGGGCACGGCCCTGATGTGTGTGGATAGTCCTTAACACTTACATTCTCACCAGGACGCAAATACACACATGAGATTTGTCAAACATGACAGTTGCAGTCACACTGATAGTTTTAAATCGCAAAAATCTGAGGGATACTGCCACTGCATCTGGCACCTTGAGACATAAGTAGGCATATATCACGTGTCTGTAATTTCACCGGCACCCTTTCCCTTTAGAATCGGAGCGCAGTAATGCTCACATTACGGTTTGACGGCAGAAATAAGTAAGGAGTAATCCTATTCACGAACTCTTCCACGAGGAACTATAGTGCTACTAATGTACGACGTCTTCTATGGACTTAAAATCATGTCTCAATATTCTGGACTAGGGAGAGGTTTAGCGTTGATCAAAACCAACGCAGGCTTTTGAAAATCATAAAATAGAGAAGGTTAATCACACAACTGCATTATTGCAATAAAAGTGGTTACGGAACATCGGAAACTGATTAAAATATTATAACAAATTGGTGGAAATCCCCAATACTAGGGCGATGGATGCGTTCGCACCACAGACCACATGTGGTTCGCACATTGTTAACAATTTATTTCCCAGCATTGTTCGTATATTTTATACTATAGATGTAATGTATATACTTATAAATGTGTATGTTAGGAAATGTATATAATAACGTATATAACAACTCTGAGAATCAATTACCAGTTCAGCTCCTTGTGTTCCGGTATTGAAGGGTAAGGGTGCTAGTGAAATTACTGGCACATGGGACTAGTCTACTTAGGTCTCAGTGTGACGGGCGCAGTGGTCTGAGTAGCACTACAACATTTATGGACAAACGTGTCGCTTACCAACAGGAGCACGACTTGTTCTTCCCATCACTTGGTATCACAAAAGAGGATAATTATTCTTAATACTCATATTTATGATTGATTTAACCTTAAAAATATAAGTAAGGAAAATTATTGGTTTGTAATTTCGACATTTAAATGTGGAGGTTTTTACAAGCCTACCTTACTTACTAAACTACCTTACTTGTTCACGTGCACGTGACGTAAACAGACAACCTGACCGGACATTTGCTAAGTGATGACAATAGACTACTCAGCAGTGCAATGACCGTTCTGAACTAGGCTACTGAGTAGAGTAGTCAACTTTATGTACACATTTAAAAATAATATTGTTTATAGTCACACACTCTTAAATACCGTTTTGTATAGCTTAAGTTTTGTAAATAAAACTCTCTTTGAATTCAGGCATCAACGCTTGCAACTTATTGACAACGGAGCACTCCTGACTACAGCATCCTCTCACTGCGGCCAAGACACCTTTAGCCGTTAGCTTATCTGATCAGTCTTGTGAGTCTGTGAGACTGGCAGTGAGAAAACCATTTCCTAAAGCACCCTTATCCTTCCCCCTTTCCGTCTGTTGCCTTAGGTCGCACGGTGACCGGCTTCCCCTACTATTTATATAAGTATATATTCCGTAGCGTATGGTTAGGGCTAGGCTGTTAGGTAGGCAACTAGGGTTGTTAGTGATAGTACAGCTTTCCCTGACCACTCATGTATAGCCAGCTAGCTACAGCTAGGTAGTTGACTGTATATTACTTTTTAAACCTTACTAGGCTGTTTGATGTATTTAGTTTACATATATGACGCTGACCCACACTGACCTTTGCAATTGGTTCTCGGATTTCTTGAGTGAACGTTCCATTCGAGTGGTTTTAGAAGACTACTCTTCTGAACATCGGACGATAGTTCGATGTCCGTACTGTCTGCACCAACACTCTTTCTGCTGCATATCAATGAGGGCCTATGCACACGGCGTATTTTATACACGCAGACGATGCGCAGAGGACGTGCTGACTACGCGCTGATGACATTAACGCGTTTCAAACGAGATTCAGTCTTAGCCAGTACACCTAAGCACACGTTTACAAATTCATAAGCGCCGTAAAGGCGCGTTTCACTCAATAGCAGCACATAGCGTGAGTTGAGATAACACTGCTTACGCTAGCTTTATTATTGATGTTAAAAAGGAGAAAATGTAAACGTAGTACCTTGCCCCTTTCCTCAGTTTTGCAATGCGATGTTTGATTCGATGCAAACACGCTTCGAACTCGCGTTTGTATCGCGTTTTACGCGCGTTTCAATCAATACATACTCCACAATTTGCTTTTCGAATATCTTCGGCGCCGTAAACGCGCGTTCAAAATGTGTTCGTGAAAAGCGCGTCGTCTGCGCGTTTAAAATACGACGTATGCATAGGCTCTTATATGTTAATTCCAGGTACCTATGCGTATGCTGATGACAGCACAGTTATAGGTAGGTAATTGACCAATGCAACGGTCAGTGGAGAGGAAATCCAGTCTTATCGAGAGTCTATGGTTAGCCGTTTGGATTTGACACTCAAGGCAGTCTCCGATCGGGGCGATGCCAATCTTGTCAAATTTAACTACCAAAACGCAGGCGTGTCTACTCTTCACAAAACGGAGTCCCTTTGAGCAGACTCCGACTTTTCGTGATATATCCATACCGATAGCCGACTGTCTCCAGCTACTTAGAATGGACCTGTCGTCCAGAAACTGAACTGAACTTCGGCAGATACATTGAATCCATGGCCAAAAATGCAGTCAGGAAGCTTGGAATCCTTTCCAAGGTGAGGCATTACTTCGCACCGGGACAGTTGCTTCAGCTGTATCAAGCACAAGTTTGGTCGTGAATGGAGCACTGCTGCCACCTTTGGGATGCCTCTGCTACATATCAACTGGTCACCTTGGGTTCAATTGACAAGCGTGTCAAGAGGCTTACAGGTGAGTCGGAATTAGTAGAGGCGAAGCTGCGGAGCCTTAAACACCTCCGTAAAGTTGCCTGCTTGTCGGTATTTAACAGGATACATCACGGAGAGTGTGCGATGGAATTACACGATTTAATTCCGCCTTCCCCTTCCCATCATCGGGGGACTAGGCGTAGGCTTGGATTCCACCCCTATGTTGTGGATATTCCAAAGAGTCGCATGAAGCTTTACGCTTCCACATTTATATGGCTATGGGTGGAATTCCCTGCCTACAGACTTGTTCCCTGAACGTTACAACTTGAACCTTTTCAAGGCGAGAGTGAAAAAGCATTATTTAGGTGGTGGTGGTACACTTTCCGTCAGATGAGATGGAAGTCAAATGTACATTTACATTTGAATTAAAATATTATTATAACTTTGAACAAAAAAAAAATATTCGTAGGAGCATTGGGCTCCAAATTTACGAACCAATATTATTTTCCGTGACGCTCAACTATTTTGATTCAACAGAAATAAAGCAGAGCTGTATACCCGACCATCACTACTTGGACAAGCACCGTAGAGAAGAAGGTCATTAGTGTCATTTAATCGATAGAGTTATTTAAATCGTAAAATGTAAAATGCCACTGGTTGCACAAGAACGGATTGATTGTTCTCTGTAAATACAAAAAAAAAAGGTAAAAGCTAGATACGTAACGAATTCACATTTTATAACCCAATCAAAGTTATGAATATTATTCATGTAATTTCATTTTTATTGACCGAAAGTAAAATGTTATGCACCAAGACGTTTTGCAGTTGGCGTAATGAAGTACATGGAAAATTAATGATCTGGAGTTTCCTTTACTTATATAGAGTTTAGAATAAAATGCTGCCGCTAGACGTGAATGCCAGTGTGTAAAGTAAAACAAAATGTCATTTAGTAAATTGATGTTTCTTGCGCTCATTTTGTATTCTGTGGTAAGTTCGACATGAAACTATATATTTAAGTTACCTTATGTAAGCCATGTAAAAACTGAAGGTGGACTCAATAATAAACATAAGAGCGGCCAATGCCATGAACCCATGAGAAGTCCCCTTTGTGACGACATATCAAGCGTACGTATGTAACCGCCCGAGCGCAGTACCGCACCTTACAACAATGTATAAAATATAGATAATTAGCACCTATATCACGTATGTCGTTTGATTTGTAATTTATTATTGTCCTATGGGATGTCATATTCCATTGAGAACTCTGATAAATAGACAATGGACAAAGTAACATCACGTATCATAAAAGAGAAAGTAGGACGTCGTATTGTCATCTTAAATCCATATCAATTGATTTTGCTGGAGTCAAGATGAAATTATCATTCATCTCATCATTGATACGAGTCATTATTGTATATGTATGAACGTAATGGAGACGTTGAAGGAAACGCCCTTGTCACCGATTTTGTCACGTATCATTTATAAATAATAACGTGTTGTTTAAGTTGATTGGAATTAATTCGTTTAACCACTTTGCACAGTAATTCGTTCGAAAGTACAATAGCCGGATCACAACGGTTAAAACGCAATTCACAAAGAGCGGCGGCGCTTGTGCACTTTCCAAGTAACTCGCACAAAAAGCAAATCCAATGTCAAATACGCGCTATTTTTATAAAGCGTTGACCATCAATTTCACTTCTTACTTTCATATGGAAACACAGCCAATTACTATTATGTCACAGAACAACGTCAGACGACTAATTATATCCAACAGATTCAAACTATACTATATATGATAATAATAATTTTGGTGACGCAAATTATGAATGATACGCGAGTACACGTCTTTCATATCGGTGACGGGTAGCATAAACTCTATTTCCTATTTCATGTGACGTGCACCGTTGATTGTTTGGGGCTCTTTTCAATAAAAAAAATCTGAAGACTGCAATTTGTTGCTCTTCACAGCTAGAAGGAATAGATATTTTTTAGACAAACGCGTAGGAACCATCGTCGGTTGGCGTGTGTTTATTTTTCATAAAAAAACTGTTCTAAAATAATATTAATACAAAGATCGAATATTAAGAAAACAGTTTCTTCGATCCGGCTAGATTCGAACCAGAATATTCCAGCAAACCGTGCTAGACACTATGCCAACTAAGCCACGGAACGAACCAACGGACGTCACAAATTTTTCTATCGACTTGTTGCAGATCTTTGTTTTTTTGGTTTTTCAACCACTTTTTTACTGTAGCGCCATCTGTGAGTAATCTATTACGTCATTATTTTCGATTCGAAGGAATATTTTTAGTGTTCGATCTTTATAATAATAATTATAACTAGTTGAGTAATTTCTCAAAAATAATTGAATATCGTGGTAAAACAAAAAAAATTACTACAGTTCTAACAGTTTAAAAATTTTTAGGTTTTAATAAATGGCAATTCAAATATATCATTCGTAAACACCTTACACAAGTTGATCCAAAAGAACGATCGCCGATTAAGAGTTATAAGGGATTTGTATTCACCAAAGCACTCTGCGCTAAGCTACAGAAGTTCAGATAAAAAACGATTGGCATTACCAGAGGAAAAAGAAGAGAAACCGGTTCTAGTTGTTGTTATGCTTAATGTAAGTATTATGCTTTGCAAAATTTAAGGCTTTTGTGCACCGCTGAAGGAACGTCATCGCATCAGGCCTATGGGTCTGCTGGCGTGCTCCGTCCAACATCTATTCGAAACAATTACTGTCAAATAAGTAATATTCGACCCCCTGATGTACATTATTATAGGTTACATTTTGAACCCTAAAGTGACATAGTTAAAATAACTTTACAAATGGCATTTTATTCTAGAATAAATGAATAACTTCAAAACCCACAACAAGACTTGAGGGAAAAATCTGGTTCTCCAACTGTAATGTAGTAAATCAAACCACACCGGGAGCATAACGAATATAATTATAAGAAATGTAATATTGAAACCAGGCCTTGTACTCTTGTTCCATGACATTCGTCCGAAACAATTGGCGCGTTTCCATGTCGTAACGTTTTATTTATCGTTGGACGACTGTCGCGTCTAGCCTGTTCCCATATCACAACTATCCGTCGTGACTGTGTCGTGGACGTTTATTTTATTGTTGAACGACTATCGTGTCTTGCTGTTCTCACTAGATCGTGACGACAATTTGTTGTATCACGGCAATCTCCTTGTCGCTTGCAAGACATAATCGTTTGAAGCTGCGATTATCTGTCGTCACATTTTTATCGTGACGTTTTTTTATCGTCAGATGACTGTCGTTCAATCTCTTCCCATTGTCACGACAGTCTGTCGTCGTAACGTCAATAAAGTCAAGTGAACGACAGTTAATCGTATTTTACTATGTGTGAACAAATTCATTTAAAAATACAAGTCACGACACTTTAAATTGTATGACTAACTATCGTCACGACATAATGGGAACGCGTCCTTACTGTTAAATAAGTAATATTCTACTAAATTAAAACAAACATGATGCGAATGAAGCTTCATACTTGGCATTGCTTTTTAACTTGGTTGAGTATTATTATTGCTTATTTGACAGTTTCGGACGGATGTCGAACGGGGAACTATAGTAGACCCACTGATTCAACTTCGATCCTACAGCTGTGCACAGTGGCCTTTAGTTAAGGCTCAAAAATGACGTTACATAGACCATTGTATTATAAGACAAGTATGGTAACTGCATTCCTATGCAACAGCGCGGCTTACATGTCGTACACGAAACATAATACTGTCGTAACTCGAAATTGTTGAATTGAGAAAACACAACATTTCAAAAAAGTTCTGAATGGATCTTATTGCGAATAAATGTAACTGTTTTTATTTTTACATATTAATATTATAATAGCAGCAGAGCTCCTTGTGAAAGTTTGTCCAGGGAAGTTCTGCCACCTTACCTATTTCTGCCGCCAAGCAGTAATGTCAACATTACAACGTTCCGGTTTCGCAGCGTAAGGGTGAAATTACAAGCACAAAGGACTTGTCAACTTATGTGTGCGCGCAATGGCAATGCCCAATCTTTGCGATATAAAGATCTGAGTGACACTGTAAGGGGCGTGTCACTTCCCATTCGGCGCACGACTTGTTCGTCCCGTCATTTGATATTATAAAAACATATACAACTTAATTTTTATATCCATTTATAAACGAGAATATTATAATATTGGTTTAATTCAGTGTTTTTTTAATCGTATTTTTTCAATTCACTTTAAATTACGACAGTATTTTTTTCATCTGCGGTGTGTGCACTCCCGCTGCACACCGTGTACTAATGCACACATTCGCATAATAAAGAAATGCGCGTTGGGATGACCAGGAGGGTTATACAACGCTAGTGCATGGCTAGATTGCGCAAATTTGTCCGTATACGGCACGCGGCGGGCGTGCACACATACAAGACATGCTCCTACGTTTGTATAGAGTTAGCCTACTCATCTTGATTATACTATGCATGGACACACCTTTGAACAAACTATTCGCGCAATCAGTTTTGCATAATGTTTGTTGACCACTATCAAAGGATGGTCTTTACATCGACGAGACGCGGGAGGGGATCGCATTTTAATATTATTGAGAATAATGAAAAACTTAAGCAAATAAAATAATATTGGTTCTAAACGCTCGCAAAATTTTTATGTATAATTAATTTCAATCCAAATTTGCTTATTTGCGAAATAAAGGAATTTATTGCTATGATTTAAACTATTTTAACGTTCAATGATGTGATCATACCTGCTCTAAGGCTACTTCTGTACAGACATCGTTATTTTTATGCCTTTTAAAGAAAAAAAATACACATTTTATTCTGTATTAAAGTAGAATCACCGTAGTTTTTGCAATTTCCACTTTATTTACTCATTAGTTATAGTAGAAATGTAGTTTTTTTTTCGGGATTTTTAAATAATATATTTATTTTACTCAGTAGTTGGGGTTAGATGTACGATGGGCTACACAATAACATATTTGTACAAATAAAAATCAATTTAACAAAGAATTTGATCTTGCATGGTAAGCACATCAGCGTGTAAAAAAAATCTTGCTTCCATGAAGGAAAAACACCATAACAAAATCTACATACCAGATAGAGTTTCCAAAAGTTATCACCAACTTATGAAGTATTCTCCAGCCTCAGATAACGAGTTTAGAAGTTAGGTTAGTTTACATATAAGTCTCAGGGTGACGGGACAGTGACAGTGCCCCTCCGATCTTTGTGATTTAAAGCTCTCAGTGGCCCTACATCTGTTATAGACAGGTGTGTAGCTTACCTTCAGGCGCACGACTTGTTTGTCCCTTCACTTGATATTATAAAAAAACATAAAAAAAATATGATCACGTAACGATCCAAAGTACGTTGTAATTAAAATATCGTATTTAATATATGACCATGGGGTGTCTAGAAAAATACGTTTTTCATACAAAAATTACACACTGTGCACACTTGCTTGGGCCTGAAGGATGTTTCTGTTATTGTCACTCATGCTTAAAGTTTCAATGCTGAAATTCTTCTGTTTCCTCTCTAGTAAGCCTGGTAGACCTGGCGGTCAAGTAATCTCTCTAAAAGAGATTTATACACAACTATATGACGTTTAAGGATGGACGTATGACTTTGGAATAGAATACCCTGCCAGCAGATATGTTCCCTAAACGCTTCAACTTGGGCCTTTGCAAGGCGAGAGGGAATAGGTAATCTACAGGTGTGCATGCTCCATCCTCACTTTCCATCAGTTTAGGTGCTGTTCAATGACGCAACAATTTTATTAACAAAAAAAGTACTCATTACGTGTAGTCCGTTGTATTTCTCGTAAATATATTGGATTTTGAATAGTATTGGGAATAAACATTTATTGGATAATATCTCGTTCAACCTATTTTTCTCTTTTAAAATAAAATTTAAATTGTGTATTTTGCGTTAAAAATTGTCTACCTGCGATTGAAAAGGAAATGTGTGTTGATTACAATGTAGCTAACAACATGAAATAAAACTTAAAATTAAGTTGCATTATACACTTAAAGAAATTTTCCAGCAAACCGACCGCAAAATGCTTAATGATATAAAATTATCAGATTTTCCAATGAAAACTGGTAAAAATGTAACATTATCGGAAATATTGAATTCAGAAGATGACGAATTAGAAAAAATACCAGCAAAAGTTGTAAAATTAAAAAATAAACGTAAAGATAAAAAACGACAGAATCGCATAAAACGAAATAGTAATTTGGAACATGATAATACAAAGTCAGACGATATATTTAATAGAGAAAAGCTAGACGGAACATTACGTTCTATGAAAGCAAAAGAAAATGACTTAGGATATACAAGAAGAAACATGTTCACATCTTGCGATCAGAGATCTTTACTTTTATGTACAAATGTATGTGGTAAAATATACAATTATGTTTGTGAGTCATACGATTGTAGCCCGAACTTTATACAGTTAGCGAATGAAGAATGTGCGTCAATGTGTCAAGAGGAATATGTAAATGGGACGAAATATAGTGACAGTTATGATAGTTACTTTGCTCTCGACGCCGAAGACTACTATGATAATGATAAAGACATTATCGTAAATTTAGATAGCAGATAAGAGAATTAAGCACAGAATTTCTGTACTTTAACTTAGCAGTGGGGACAGTGGCACCACATTAGAAGGTTGATGAACCAGCTTCGACTAACTCATTTATTTATCAACGTATTGAATTCAATATAAAAACAAAATAAAGAAATTTATAATAGGTAAAATATAAAAGAAACACGACAGTTTTGGGAATAAAACATGAAATCAGGAATGAACACATAAAATCATACTTTTGATAGATTCGAATAAATGCCAACATTATTTTGAAATTGAACATACACATAAACATGACACTACAGTAGGTACGTATCTCATAGTAAGAAAAGATAATATGTTCTGATTTCTGGTGCTTCAAATTTGACTGACAGAACGAGAACCATATGTACTGCGTTGTCTTCATACAAGCCAAAAAATAAGTTATCAGTTAACAAGAGAATTATTGTAGAAGTCTGATTTTTAAGACGTTTTGACGGTTTGGTCTGTAGATAGCTTTTCCTTGCACTCCTCAGAATAAAGCCCTTAAAATCATCATTGTGTTTTATTAACAACTAATTGAGCAAACATTATGTGGTTGACATAACATAAATGTTGCTAGAATAGCCTTGTGTTTTAAAAAGTAAAGCTCTCAAGTGATGGATATCAATAGCAAAATATTTTTGGGTTCACAGAATAATTGGTTGCGAAGTAAAACGGGTAACGGTACATATACGAAGAAAAATAACAAAAGTGCACCGCGTCCAATCAAACTGATACAATATGATGAAAATTCGGAATATGACGTATCAAACCAAACAGACAAAAAAAGGAAAGTAAAGATTAAACCACGTAAATTAAGTCAGAAAAATTCGTGTCAGAAACTGTCATCGAGTTTCTGCAGGATGGAATGTGTCAAGGCTTTTAAGACTGGATGTTCTGTATTTTCGTGCTCTAGAAAAAAAAAACAACCCCATTGTTTAGGATGGGGAAAAAATAGCATCCGCAATCATTCTTATAGTATCACCATCCTCTTTTTGTAGCTTATATATTTCATATAAAGTACATTGTTTTGGTTAATACAATTTAAAAGATCCATTAATACCAATAAACAAATCCACTATTAATTTAAGAAAATATATTATTATCAAAGGGCAAGCACACCACTTTGATATGTTAAGCTTTAATGTTCGAAAGTTTCTATTTATACTTTAATGAAGATCATCACCGTTATCATGTGATCTATATAAATAGTCACTATACACAGACCCACTGTTTTCATGAACAATTGGAAAATTAGTCAATCATAGCAACACTGGTTGGTTAAAATTTACTTGACAGTCGTGAGCTTGATACTTCATTATTTATTCCAAGTATTGTATTTATTTTGTGGTACACTTACTTGAACTAGACTGTAACTTTCCTGTATAAATATCATGACATAATCGGAATGTTCGAGATATTTACCGTTAGCTATAGGCACCTTTAAAATTAAAACCACTTACAATCTGAGCGCAAACGACGAAATAATTATCAGAAATGTTGTAGTTACTGGTCAAATCAGAGATAAAATATTGAGGACGATAATGATTTTTTTGTTGATTATTGGAAAGTTGTTCTGATAGACTGTCGACACAAGAAATGCAAAGTCCTATCCTAACGTGGATGCACATACATAAAAGAAACGAGTTCAATTTACTAAATAACTCGTAAGGTCTGTAGTACATGAGTCTGCTATAACATCTCTAGCACCTTCATACTTCATGATATGGCCCAGTTCTTTTCTTGTTTTTAGTACACACAAGATAGAAGTTAAAAACATGGTCTTTTGTGTGAGTGTCGTTGATCAAAGCATAGACTTCACTGAAATTAATATCTTATAATTCTATTATGGTAAACCACTTTCATTGTTATATTTTTTTCACGTTTGCAACATATTTTTTTTTATGTAAATCACGTAAATTTATTTTTTCAAACAAGCCAATTAACAGGCTCCAAGGTCACCGCCAAAACCCAATCATGTCTAATATTAATGCAAATCATAAAATTAACGGTTTGGATACGAAAACATTGTTTCACTTCTAATGTTTCATTGTAGATTGTTTTCAGTGACGTAATTTAAGTATTATTTTGTATTCACTTCTTATTTAATAATTTACTTAATTTTTTTTCGAATCTTTTTGGTAAGTAGTTCTTTTTCCACTTTGCTAATATTCTGCTTATATAGAAATATCATCCAATATAATACTCAACTTAATAAAGCTTTTATTATCTTATTTGAATGAAAATATGATTATCTCCAGGCTGTTCCCGTCAGTCCAACAAGTTCTGTATACGAAGGCATGTCAATAGAATTAGATGATAATATTAACACATCTGTCAAATATCTCAATGGAATTCCAACTAACGTAGAACAAGGTACATTTGAGCACGAAGAAATGGAATCAAGAGTTAAAAAATTCACAGCCAAAGCGATCGATAGGCACGTTGACGAATTGAAAATTCAAGGCATTGGAATGAATTTACCAGGATCTCTAAAACAGAAAGGCAATATTAGAAAACTTAAAGTTAATCCCGAAAACGAACCCATGAATTCTTTCTCTGCTTTAGTGCCTAATCTAAAACCTAAATTACTACTCAATTCAGCATTTGATTCCAAACTTCAATTTAAAGTTATTGGAGTACCAACTAAGGTTAAGAATACTTCAATTTTACAAATTCTTGACAATAAAACTGGGCAAGATCTAGTTGATGATATTAAAAAACAAAATGACGTTAAAAAAGATACTGATGAGGACGACGTTGACTATACACAACTTGAAGGTGCCTTGCAAGGATTTCAACTAAATTCGAAACAGAAAGATGCACTTAGGAAAAGCTGGCGAGGTGCTTGTGATAAACAATCTGCCAAAAAATGCATAAAAGCGTGTAAAAAGAGTGCTGCTACCATAGATAAAGAGAAAGATTTCAAAAAAATATTGAAAAGAGAATGTAAAAGAAGTTGCAGGGCAATGTTTATTGAAGATAAAGGTGAGTCTGATAAAGAATCAGGATCTGATTGTAATTGATCTCTTGTCTCATTAAGTAAATGAAAATATATCACACTAGTGCGGGTAAGTACATAACAACCGGTTAATACAATTTATTTTAAAAAAGTGATAAATTTGTTTAAATTTTGAGATCTGTCCTATAATACAACTTACACTCCCTTTGACAGGGTAACGTAGGAATAGTAGTTTTTATGATAGGTAGGTCTACTGTGTGATATTCAATGTTAATATTACTCATAGCTAGATTTCTAGAAGGTACAGGTTCACACATTTTTAGAGACAGTTATGTGAAAGCTTTATTATTGTTGTACTATAATATTGACAATCTTATAAGGTAAGATGACGTACCAACTTTGTGGTTATATTACCAACTAATTTTGTGCACGATTTGAAAACTTAAAATACCTGTGTTAAAATTCCGAATTAAATTTCATTCTTATCATGAAAAATATGTTAAATAAACATTGAAAAAAAATAACATACGTCTAAAATGTAATAATATCAGGATAAAATAATGGTTTCGAAAAATCAAAACGGTATTCAATAAGTTACCTGCGTAACGGTAGTTTTCCACCGGCGAGGCATGACGAGACGAAGCGAGACAAGAATAGAAATCTCGTCGGCCTATTTTCACCTAAAAATTTCCATTAATAGCTCGTGCGAGCCCTCGTGGGCTCGCGCGAGCCGTTGCGATCTCGCGCGAACTCGCACTGTGATTGTGAAGATTCAGAGCTGTTCAGTTCATCTAGCGATGAACACGCGGCTAAAGTAACATGTCTCGTAAATTATTATTATTATATGTATATGTTAACGGAAGAAGAATCAACAATGAAACCATCTTTTTTAAATGTCAAATCGTGCATACCCCACAATCTCGCGATTGATATTAATAGCCATCGCGAGACCGTGCGGTTGCTCGCGAGATTGCGCGAGAAATCGCGTTTCCGATATAGAATATAATATTATATGTGGGCAGCAATACGGTTCAAAATTACATCAATAAAATATTTCAATTCTCGCCTAGCCTATCCTCGTCAATTCAAATCATTTTCTCGTAAGATGCGCTAGGAGAGAATTGAAATTTTGTCGTACCAATTTCAATTCTCGTCTCGCCTTGCCTCGCCGTTGCAAAACCACCTTAAATTTCAGCAACAATTTACTCCAATGACATTCTAAAAAAAGACAGTGGAATAAGAAATAAATTCTAGCAAAGAGCTTACATGTTATAACGTTTTATACTATTCTCGTGTGTATTTTCACTTTCACTCTAATTTCGGCACCTAGTTTCTATAGTTGTAGATAAACAAGTAAAATGAACTTACCATTACAAGAATGTGATTCTTAATTATATAATATTCTTAGTCATTTTCATACATATTAACCTCTATTCTAAAACTCTCTCTCTATTCGTTGGATTTTATTTCAAGTTCGTGACAGATCGCTGTTGCAGGGGCCCAAGCAGCACACCCGTATCTAAATATATACTGTAAGACATCTAATAGAATTTAATTCGATTGAATATTTTAAGAGTTCAAATTCCCTCAAGATATCTCAAAGAAGGTTTCTAGATAATTTAAAGTAAAAGTGGGCACAACTTTATTAGTAGATCACAAGAGTGCTTTGAGAAACTATCTGTAGGTAGTGTTAAGAGTCATTCTTATCTTTTTTCTGAAGTAACCCTTCTAGAATGCTACAAGACCATTTGTAGAATGTAGACAGTTTTTATTTAGTCTTGTAGATAGTTTTTAGATAATTTATAGTCTATGATAGTTTTCTTAGTAATGCTATTTTAAAACCAAAATACTAAAGCGTTACAAAGGACGCAATTCTCTTAATACTAATAGATTTCATGTTTAATGGCTTACAAAATATAAACTATATAAATTGCAACATGGCGAAATTAGATGTAATATTTCTGACTTTTTCGCGCAATGTTTAATCGGTTGGAAAGCGCAAATTGACGTGCGACTTTAAATACATTGTGAAAAGTTATGTACAACCTGTCATAAAAGTAATGCGCTCGCCAAATTTTAAATATTTAAGTATAAAATATAAACTTAATAAAAATACAGTTATCGATTTTCGGTTTTAAATATTTATAGAAAGCTTAAATATACAAAATAACTCACAAAACAAACCATTTCCAAGAAGTTCTAGGCTTTTTCAACTTAGATTTACTTTTTAAAAAGAAAAGAAATTTTTCTCGGCTACTTCATAGTCATTCTTTGAAAATAAAAATGGCGATAAGAATTTAAAGCTTTTTTCAAAACACAGTTGGGAGCATTTTGTCTATAGCTTTATCTATAGAAAAACTTTAGAATACGAAAAGATTATTTTTACTTGCTTTGGTGTAGTTGAACTTGTCGAAGAATATTCCTCCTATGAGATTTTTATAATTGTCTACAAAACGCGATGTTTCTAAGCGATTGTTTCTTTTGACAGTATTACAAAACCCTTATAAGCTTTTACCAAATAATGAGCGCTTTATGCATTAAAAAACTTTTCAAAACACTAGGTCAAAAAAACAATTGGAAAAAATCCAATTTATCGCAAAAAAAACGTTATTCTGCATAATTGTATGGAATGTGTTATAATATGACTAGAAAGGTGGATAAATTTACTATCATTTAAATATAAGGAATATTTTAATGACGTACCTAACTCATGATGGAAAAAATAAAATTTTCATTACAACATTGAGGTTATTTTTTCACGCCAACCACATTTCACACAATAATTTCACTGTATTCTATTGATAAACGGCACAATACACATACACAACATTGAAGTACAGTAGTTTACGCGCTCATTTCAATTGTTTTTATCATTTCACAACACGGAATTACTTCACAATGTTTATTTATTTGTCAACAAACAAATGCCGGCCATAACCGGTCCGAGCGCGAATTACGACTATTGTATCCAGCGTTGCCAATTTGTAGGGAATTCCCATTGACTTACAAATAAATGGACGACGGGTCTAATACAAAAACCACAAAAAAAAGTCACAAGTCAACCTATTTAAACGTAGTGACATGTAAAGGAATATGAAAAAGCTAAAACATTGAATTTAAATTGTAATGTCATCGCAGTACTGTCTAATTTTACTTGCAACAATTGAAAGGTGTAAAAAAACACCATATTCAGCTTCTACTGGGAACTTACCAAAATGCACCATTATGTAAACTTCTAGTCAAAAGTACTTGAACACTGGTATAATGGAGTAGCCTTTATTATTTATAAATAAATTTTATATGTAAATGTTGAATTTTATACAATGCCATTCATTACGTGCTAGGGGTGTCTGATTTTTTTTCTTGAATTTCGAGAATTCTCGTACCCGATTTCTCGAGTTATTCGAGATTTTTTTTAAATACCGTAAAAAATCAGCTCAATCAACTATAAAACTAAATGTGAAATTTTCGAAAGCTGTTTTGGCCTGGGTGTTCTGAGTTGTACCCCGAAATAAATTCCATCGTTCTTGTTCCCAGGTTCGATTCCCGGCAGAACCAATTTGGGAAATGAACTTTTGTAAATTGGTTCTGCTCTGGGAATCTGTTGTTTTGATACTCATGGGGAATATATACAGAGAGTTCCCTAGTTTCAGACCAGGTGATTGTCTTACAATAGAATACCAACACCAGAACCATTTAGAAAAGTTAATTTGTTAAATTGATCCTACCGGTATCGAACCCGGGAACTTCTCATCCAGTGCCCACAGTGCAAACCGTTAGGCTATCAAGGTTGTACTATTTGTATTATTATGCATTGTTTGCATGTGAAAGCTACAAATTGCTTAAACTTTTTAAAAAATCCAAATTTATTTGCAGTGTCAGTCTGCTTCAATTACCTTCTTTGTTTGTTAAGTTGGTATATTTTGTCATTCATCCAACTTTTGATTTTTAATGCATTTTGGCGATGTAAGATGTTCTCTGTTAATACTTGTCACTTTCTCCTTAAGTTCAAGCTTTGTTTACTGGATAAATTCCTGTATTCTCTCCTTTCTATGCACAGTTCACTCATTGATGTAATCACATACCAAAGCTTTAATATAAATTTAATAAAATTTAAAATAATGCCTAGGCACCAAAAACCAATTCTTACTAGCAATGTTGACAAAGCTGTTTTTTTTTAATTTTCGTAAGCGTTTGCTGGTTATGTACATATCCCATTGTCTGAAATGAGCCAAGCAAACAAATTTGTATATTTTCGGGATAAAATGTTCTTCTCGTCGCGATTCAGCTATTATATTTCTCCATAGTGAGCAAAGTATAGGTAAATATATCTCGAGGAAAACTGAAACAAATACATTTATTATGCCATGCCATAAGAAATGTACCGATAAAATTCAAATACAACGTAAAGCCAAACTTTCATAATCCTGAAAACCGATTCATAACAAAACCGTTATGCTTTAGGGAGTTTTGGATGCTTATTACAAAGAAAAGACTAAGTTAGCTTAGGTTTGTTTTGTAATATTCTAAAAAAAACTAAAAAAATACTTTCGGGATTATGGAAATTCATGCAAATGTATTTTCGGTCTTCTGATTCGTAACCCCAAGCCGTAGAAAGAGTACAACAATATTTGAAAGTATTACTAACATGTCGACACCTCCAATGAACACTACGCCATCTTTATTTTTTGGTCGTCTTCTGTTATTTTTGTAAACAGCCATGTTTATTTGCCTTAGTAAATAAATATGGCGGTTTAATATAAATATAATCTTATCCCTCCCCGAATTCTGTGAAAAAAAGAAACAAGAACAAAAAAAACGAATTTTGTAAAAAAAAAGAAAACAACCAAATAAAAACAGAACAGGTCCAAAAATTAAGTTGGCTTAGTGTTCAATGGAGGTATCGATGTATTAAAAAATATTTTAATAATAACATTAGTATCAAAGCGACTCTATGAAATTTTTGTTCTAAATATTTCAAACGCTTGTGTTTGAAACAATTGAAATTGACGTGTTGGGTCTCGTTCAGTCTTTTACGCATGCTATGAGTCGGAAAGAGACAGTTAGCTATTTGATTATTTTGATAGCTTTTGTAATTTATATTTACGATTAATTTAA